TAAAGTATCTGATCACACCAAGATTGATGTGATCAGATGCTTTTCCAATTTAAAAATGGCACTATTAACATTCAATGAAACGTAAATGGTGAAATGCGCATAGCTTCTGGTTTCTCAGACCATAGAAATGTTTGGAGCCATTCTGGTCCTTGATCAGCTCTATGGTTAGCCGGCAGAACTGCAGGCTGCATTCTCAGATACCCCTGTGGGATGGGAAAGCCCAAGAAAACCGTAGAAGGAGGTGGAAAGGGGGGGGAGTCCATTCCCACTGCTTGTAAAACTGAGGCAAGGGCATATATATAACAGCAGAGAACATAAGCATATGATGAATCAGGTCTGTGGAACAATATGACTGCCATTCATTCATTTTTGTAATGCCCATGTTGAGGGTTAGGCCCAAAAAAGTTTTAAATTCAGAAACAGTGATAGGTTTCCATGCATCTGGCAAGAGCTGAATTTGGGTGGGGCGGTGATGTATTGTTGTGCGTATAAATTGCTTTGGCCCACAATCAATTGATACAAATCTAGTAATGGCGGTGATCAGCGACCTATAGCATGAATTTGATAATGTGCGGGCAATCTAACGCTAGCTGACCCTGGCTGGGAGGGGTGCTTACAGACCCTAACGCTATCTGATGTCGCTAGGGGGTGATCAAAGGGTTACTAGGGAAGAGCAAAGGGTTAACTGTGCTCATCTAACTTGTGTGTGTAAAATGTAGTGCTTTTACTCACAGTGCAGTGTTCTCTCTTCTCTCCCTGGACCAACGGGGGGGGGGGGGGGGGGGGGGGGGGGGCGGGGGGCGCATGTGGATTCAACCTCTGAAATAGAATGCGATATAAGGTTACATCACTTTGCCCAGAGTCACTGCTCATCCTCACAATATGGGCAGGCGGTCAGCAAGTAGTTAAAAAAAACCGCTTGAAGAATCTTTTTTTTTAATTCTCAATGTGCATTTTTATTTTATTTTACTTATTTTTTATTTTTTTTACATTTTTAAAAAAATACTTTTATGAGAGTAATACAATGCTACCATAGTAACATTGTATTACTCTGGGATGGTGATAGGTGTTTGTTTTGTTTTTTTTTGTACACTTTGCTTTACAGGAGCAATAAAGATTATTGCTCCTGTAATGCAAAGCTTGCTTTAAACTGTTATGAATTAGTTAAGTTCATGACAGTTCAAAATAATAGGGACTCTGATTGACTGGAGCTGGTTACATGATACAGGGTGCTGTGATTGGCCCCATGTGTCATATGGGAGCTGTGGGCCAATCACAGCTCACCAGGAAGAGAAGCAAAGCTGTTATGAATCAGATTGTTTCACAACAGCTTTGCTAACATTGTGATCATCGCAGAGTTATCACATGATCACCGGGTGCCGTTCACCGGGATCTTCATTCTGCTGTGTCCGGTGGTTGTATTGTGTTAGTACAGCCAGAACAACGTATCCGTACGTCATTTTGCCTTTAGCTGCTGTCCGTCCTCAGTACATTGAGGGCGGGCAGCAAGTGGTTAAAGAAATCCTATCACCAGACCATTCATTTCAATGACAATCGTCCTATAAGATTTTATGTGTATTTTTACCTGTGTAGACATCCAAAAACACCAATATTGTGGGTGGGTGCAGCCATCTTGTATGTGATGTCAGCAGCCCCAGCAGACTCAGAGCTATCACTCAAGTTATGCTCCTTATTAGTCCCCTTTTGCTCCTCCCCCTAGGGAGCTGAGGGGAGGGGCAGAGAGGTAGGGCCAGCATAAAGTGTAATTAGACCCTCTCAGAAGAGAAAAGCAGAAGAAAAAGCACCTATGACATGCAGGAAGGTAGGGGAGCTGTGCTAGGGAACTGACTCTTCCTCAAGTAGTCACATTTGGTGGAAAATGTAAAGGCACAATGCACATTAATTTAAAATGTGTTTATGGAAAGCAAAAACGTTGCAAGTAAGCATTTGAAAATGTTCTATTCTTTTATATGCAGTTTTTGGTGGCAGGGTCTCTTTAACACTAGTCATTTGTATGTGTCATTATTTGGGAACTGATGTCCTGAGTTTTAAAACAGATCATGACCATTGTTATCTCGTGTATTATAAAGCATGCCACTGCTTTTTTAATAACTGGTTAATATGTAAATTCAATTTCTAGTTGCAAAGTAGTGATTTTGATCCGGGTCCCTATACAGCGTCCATTGCCTTTGTTGGTTTTTGCAGTGTATATTGAATTCAATTCCTTCTAGATTAGAAGAATTCAGATAACATTTTTCTTTCTCTTTGCACATCTTGTGTCTCCTTTTCCTACAGCAGCAGAGGTATTTAATTAAAATTACATGCTTAAAATTGTCTAGAGGATGCATGTCAAAGGACAGGCTTGCAGCTCCTATCTAATAGGAAAAATGTGTGAATAATTTTGAAATGTTCACACTGCTATTATTCAGGGGTGTACACTGATATTAATCGGGAGCTTAAACTGGGCCCTTACATAGAATGTATCCTCACCAGGGGAATAAATTACATATTTTGGACTAGGCAACAATATTAAACAAATTAAGGTACGCATTTCCTGCACTCTTCACTTCAAAATGACATTGGTAAACGAGGAGTCAAAATTATCTTTTGCCGCTACTTGAGGTGAGTGCTGTAATGACGGTATTCATTTTGGGTTTTTTTGGAATTCCAGTGTAATAGCAGAAAAATAAAATGTCATGTGGTTTATGGTGTCCCCATACAGCTAGCAATCCGGGCATATGAAAGAATTTAAAAAAATGTATGAGTGTAGCTACTGATCCACTTCAATATATCATAACTGAGCAGGTATAAATCAGAAATAAAACTTTTGCTTCCATTAAGTCTCTCCTGTTTTTGCCAACCTTATCCATATGGAAGAAAAATATATTTGAAATATATTTTAAAAATATTCTTCTTAAATATATTGACATATATTTGAAAAGCAAAATTTTTGGCCCTATTCAATATATTTCAAAATATATTTCAATAATATATATATTTTTAAAATATATTTATTTTGAATATATTCTTCAGATTTTTTAACATATAAAAGTCATTTCAAGATATATTTTTACATATATTTGTAAATGCATGCCAGAAATGTAGATTTTTATTTTTAAAGACATACAGTATATTTGAAATATATTTTAAAAATATTTTTCATATATTTTGTAATAAAAATGCATTTCAACATGCAGTATATATATATATATATATATATATATATGAATTGAAATATATTTTGACATATATTGAATATGGCCAAAATTGTAGCATTTCAAATATATGTCAATATATTTGGGAAGAATATTTTTAAAATATATTTCTAATATATTTTTCTTTCATGTGGGTATCCAAGGGGTTTGGCACACAGTTTCAGTGTGCTAGGTCATGGACAACAATTTGGCTTCATGCCCATGGTAAAGAAATCAGGTTAAAGAGTAAATGACACATCACCAAAAAATTAAAATAAAAAACTCAAGCAGGTATTTGTGACGATCCCAGGATCACTGCCACCAATATGTGACGATCCCAAGATCGCTGCCACCAATATGTGACGAACGCGGCGTCAGACTCCAGCCCTTCTCACCAAACTCGTGACCGAAGGACTAGCCAATCTAAAACCGCGATGTCACGTGCATAACAATGCCACACCCAGCTGCACCCTGCACAACGATTTCCAGCTAATTGGACCACAATCTATGTATTGGCAGCCTGAATGCGATTGTTACTGGGTCAGGTTAATTACGCAATTAACCCTTCACACTGCCACCACCTCCTTTTTGTACAGAGAAAGAGGAAACGCTGTGATATCAGCTATAACACTATAATGGTTGAGATAATTATCTGTATAATATGGTCACCGCAGGTTGGTTATACAGAGGGTTAAACAAACACAGTAGCGCTCTTTTAGAGGCAGGAATTCATAAATTGCAATAAAGGGCTATAGAAACAGTTCAACACTTTCAGAAGGAAAGATTTATTACTAAAAGGTCAAAAGGGTGCAATACAAATATTTACAGAAAAAGATATAACTCATATATATATATAACTATACAGAGAACAACACCACAGCAAACAGATAACAGAGAGAAGTTAGAGGGTTAAAGTACTTGCCAAAGTCCTGGGTTAGCAGATCAAGTTTCAGAGCGAAAGGGTAAGGGTCTCCCCAGGTGGTACTGATGTTAAACCGGAGAATTCTTCAACTTAACTTTCTTAGGTCTGACAGCTCATTTTGTCGTTCCCCAGCTGGGGGTGTCTCTAGAGTCAAGGACCAATACCTCAATTAGGGTGGGAAGGTCTGGGCGTAGACCTAAACTAGAGCCAAAATCTCTTGTAGCTCATATTTTGGCTCATAACTTTTCCTATGCACAAGTGACACTCCACCCCAGATAGATTATTATGCAGACACGTCTGAGGATTGATTAGATATGAAATATGAAATTCTACACTGAATGGTTCACAAGATCTACTTTTCTGCTGCTTTCCTATGTATTCCAGCCAAGGAGAGTGACCTATCAAGTCTCTCATATTCCAAGATATGAGACATAGGGGAAAAATGGATTTTAAAAGTGTTTATCTGGTTCTTGCTTCGTTGGAATGCCCTGAACTCCTGGAAAGGCTTGCGTTATCTTTTACGAGGTGTGTTATTGCACAGCTCTTTCAGACAACCAGGCACCTCGAGGCTCCTGGCTGGGCTCTGGCCTGCTTGTGACACTTCCAACACACATATGCCTCTGTGGATTAACAGAGAGGGAAGGGGGAGAATGAGGGACAACATGGAGATTTCTTAACAAAATGGAGGACTGCGTCAGTCTCTGGGTGTACGATTGCGACAGTATTTAGTTACTATGGTAGGCAAACTCACCAAAATACTTGAGTATGTGTTATGGATCCGGGTATGACCAGAAATGTGTGGGAACACAGGCGTAGTCAGGGCTGGAGAGGTGGAATGGTCAGGCAGGCCGTTAGATACTGTATAGGGTCTAAGTCCCAATCTGCTTATTCACCAGGGCCCCTGATGGTGGGGATGGACTTGGAGCAGACTGAGACCAGGTCGCGACCCCTGAGTATGTCTGGCAATGGTAAAGAGCATCATCAGAGGTGTGCGGGGAAAGGAGCCTGACGTGAAGAGGCTGGCAGACCTGGTAACAGGGACAGATCTGTGCGGGATGGATCGTCTGGGTAGCGTCAGGCATAGTCAGGCAGGCCAGGTCAGCAACATGCAGGGCAGCGAGGTACCGGAGGAGCAGGCAGAGAATAGTCAGGGTCACAAGCCGGGTTCAGTAACTCACGGGCAGCGCGGTACAGAGGATCAGGCAGAAGGATGGTCAGGCAAGCCAGGGGTTAAAACAGGAGATGGTCAGGATCAAAGCAACTAGGCAGATAGGCAGGAACACAGGATACCAAGTACAGGGGCTCATGGGAAACAATACATCAAGGCACTGACTGCAGGTCTGGCCATTCCTTAAATACACCTCCTGCAATCAGCCTCAGGTGATGGCTGACTGCAGGAGTGAGCTTCTGGTTTCTGAGAGCACCCGCTGGCCAGCCCTGGTACTGCAGCCCACACGGCAGGTGAGTCCCACCACCAGTGGTGAATCCATTCCTGACAGTATGCCAAAACGTGACTCAATCTTGGCAATGCTAGTCTGGTTTTCCTGTTCATGGGCACGATATTATACATTGTGTCATAGCCTGATGGGTTGAACCACTCCCCAGGGACACACAGGGGGCGGGGTTCTGGGAGGACATCCGTGGTTGGCCTCCCAGAACTAGATGACCGTGCCTATAGCCTTTACATTTTATTTCCCATCGAATTATAAATGCACTTATCTGAGAGAGCGAACACTCCAGCAGGAGATCTAGGGCCCCAATGCCAGCTAACTTTACTTAGACCCTATGGCCAGTGGTATACATAGTGTTTCTTTAATTCTCAGTCAGTTCACCTAGATAGCTTGCTGTTCTTTATAAGAGATGTATATCTTGTCCCTCTTATTATAACTTTGTAATGCTTTAGATGCTCTGTTGAGTTGTAATATTGTTAGTTACTGCACTTATTTTTTTCCCTGCAGAACTTTCATCACTTGACATCCTCTGGAAGTGGAAGGAGGACATCGAGTGACGAAACGCGTAAAGCGGGGCTTTGGAGATGACGTCACTACACACGGAGGTTGGTCTTGCGGTCTTGGCTGGAGACAACCCAATACACGGCTATGCTTTTATACTTGTGTCGGTGACAACACTTGAAAATGTGAGTTTTTCTACATGTTTTTATGCAATAAAGTAGTTTATGGTTTTACGCTATGGAAGCTCCCCTTTTCTTTCTTTCCTCTTGAGTGATTGAGAGATATAATTATCTGGAAAATTATGAGATGGTAGGATTACAGCACTGCAGAGCATTGCTCCCAGAGCAACATGCGGTGGCTGGTTTATGATCTGACCAGCATATCGCTCTGGTGAGTTCATTCAATTAATTTGGTGGTGGAACAGAACAGTTTGGTGGTGTGAAGAGGCTCTAAGAAGTTTATTTTGCATGGGTGGACTGTCTAATATATGAGATGAACATTACAGAATTTCAGATTATTTTGCACTTTATTTGTACAATGTAAAGGGATGTTATACGACATCAATATTTTGGCATATACAGTGCATCCAGAAAGTATTCACAGCGCTTAACTTTTGCCACATTTTGTTATGTTACAGCCTTATTCCAAAATGGATTGAATTAATGTTTTTCCTCAACATTCTACCAACAATACTCTATAATGACAATGTGAAAGAAGTTTGTTTTGAAATCTTTGCAATGTATCAAAAATAAAAAAGGAAACAAACCACATGTACATAAATATTCACAGCCTTTGCTCAATACTTTGTTGAAGCGCAGTATGATGCTACAAGCTTGGCACACCTATATTGGGCAATTTCTCCCATTCTTCTTTGCAGTACCTCTCGAGTTCCATCAGGTTGGATGGGGAGCGTCGGTGCACAGCCATTTTTAGATCTCTCCAGAGATGTTCAATCAGGTTCAAGTCTGGGCTCTGACTGGACCACTCCAGGACATTCACACAGTTGGCCCGTAGCCACTCCTTTGTTATGTGGGCTGTGTGCTTTGGGTTGTTGCCCTGTTGAAAGATGAACTGTCATCCCAGTCTAAGGTCCAGAGCCCTCTGGAACAGGTTTTCACCAAGGATGTCTCTGTACATTGCTGCATTCATCTTTCCTTCGATCCTGACTAGTCTCATGCCCACATCATGATGCTGCCATCACCATGGCCAGGTGGTGAGCGGTGCCTGGTTTCCTCCAGACATGACGCTTGGAATTCAGGCCAAAGAGTTCAATCTTTGTTTCATCAGACCAGAGAGTTTTGTTTCTCATGGTCTGAGAGTCCCTCAGGGGCCTTTTGGCAAACTCCAGGCAGGCTGCCATTTGCCTTTTACTAAAGAGTGGCTTTCGTCTGACCACTCTACCATACAGGACTGATTGATGGAGTGCTGAAGAGATGGTTATTCTTCTGGAAGGTTCTCCTCTCTCCACAGAGAAATGCTGGAGCTCTTTTAGAGTGCTGATTGGGTGCTTGGTTACCTCCCTGGCTAAGGCCCTTCTCCCTCGATTGCTCATTTTGGCCGGGCGGGCTCTAGGAAGAATCCTGGTGGTTCCAAACTTCTTCCATTTATGGATGATGGAAACCACTGTGCTGATTGGGACCTTCAATGCTGCAGAAATTTTTCTGTACCCTTCCCCAGATCTGTGCCTTGATACAATCCTGTCTACGGACAGTTCCTTGGACTTCATGGCTTGGTTTGTGCTCTGACATGCACTGTTAACTGTGGGACCTTATATAGACAGGTTTATGCCTTTCCTAATCATGTCCAATCAACTGAATTTCCCACAGGTGGACTCCAATCAAGTTGTGGAAACATCTCAAGGATGATCAGTGGGAACAGGATGCACCAGAGCTCAATTTTGAGTGTCATGGCAAAACCTGTGAATACTTATGTACATTTTTTTTTTCATTTTTTATTTTTAATAAATTGCAAAGATTTCAAAACAAACTTCTTTCATATTGCCATTATGGGGTTTTGTTTGTAGAATGTTGAGAGGAAAAATGTTATTAATCCATTTTGGAATAAGGCTGTAACATAACAAAATGTAGCAAAAGTTAAGCACTGTGAATACTTTCTGGATGCACTGTATATATATGGTATGCAGCACTTTTATTGCAATTGCACTTTCATTTATATATGATAAAATGGGAGTTGGTAGATGGCAATAACGTTTTGTTTTGCACAATATTGAACAGTGGAGATAATTTAATGCACTTGGTACTTTATATTTATGAATATATGAATATTAATTTATAAGGGTTTTTTGGAGTAGATTATAGCATTAAATTGGATTACACAAATTTCAGTCACCATCTTAGGGTAGGTCAGCGCTGTTCCATATTTGCCAGCTCTTATTGAAGATTATTACATCATGAATAGCAGTGGTCAGGAGTATATATTGTTCTAATTTTATACTCTCAGCATTTTTTTCTCTGTGGTGCAGTCTGTAAAATAGTTATATACCTAGACTCTTACAAGACTTCAATCTTCTCCTGTTGCACTTTGGCAGTCTAATGCAAGTAAAGCATAAGAAAAGGGAGCGGCTAGTGTTGCTGACATGACACCTTAAGGTACCAATTTATAAAGCAGTGAGTAGTAATGTGGAGATGAACAATGTTCTCACCCAACTGTCCATAAAAGGCTTACAAATAAAAAGAATACATTATATTGTTATTTTTCAGATTTAGCAAAAATAGTCCATGAACGTGTCCTTGAAGTAAATGTGCACATTTGTCATAAATGGCTTTATCTTCACGAGAGAGACTGTTATTTACACAATTCTTTGAAATTATTTTTCATGATTCTTCCTATACAAATGGATTTGCAGCAATAATTAAAATGCCCTGAAGGTCAATTGTGCTCTTGTTAATACATTTGAAAATTTCTAAAGGGAGCACAGTATGACAATGTAGATAGCTACAGTTAGTAACACCTGTTTCTAAAGCTTTTTTCTTTAAGCATGGAAATGAAGCAGTAGTAATATGAGAATTTGAAACCTTGTATACAATAAGTTCAATACACAATATGTGAACAAAATAACAGACATTTACTCCAATTATGAATAAGCCAGGGTCAGGAGTATGTTGTGGCGAGCATTATTTAGCTAATGAAGAAGTAAAAAACGTAATTGAAAAAAAAAAAAGAAAAGGAAAGGCAAATAAGGACTATATAAGGTTCTAAAACAGATTAAAGAAATCAAAGATATGGTGTATCCTTCATTGAAAATGACAGCTTTATCGCAAAAATTTACAAAAGTCCTAAAATATATAATGCACAAATTTGGGAAAATACATTGCATCAAAAATGTGATTACAAATTAAACTGTTTAATCTTAAAATATTTCACTGACACATAGTGAGGACAGGAATAACTACACCACTCAAAATTTAAGCTTTTGGTAAAGTCATGCGCTGTGGTGTTGCTCATAAAGCCCTATAGTTAGCACAATAACTAATTTCCCTTCTTAACCACTTCAAGACTGGACTATTTTACCCCCCTTCCAGTTCAGGCCATTTTTTTCAGTTTTCAGTGCTGTCACAATTTGAATGACAATTACTCAGGCATGCAGCATTGTACCCAAATTGATTTTGTATGATTTGTTCAAGACTGATAGAGCTTTCTCTTCATGTTATTTAATCACTGGGTTTTTAATTCCTTTGCTATATTAGGCTTGGTTCACACTATTGCGTGCCGCGTGGCCCGCGTTTGCTCTGATACATGGTGCCCTTGTTTTGCAGCCATGTGGAAACCATGCAATTTTCCTGCACTTCCCACCATCGCACTGCAGGCTGAGATGCGTGGGGGGTGCTATTCGACATGAATGTCATCCCTCGTATCTCATAAGAGAAGCACAATTCAGCTATGGGTGGTTGCGGGTGCGAGAATCACATCTGTTCCTGCACCCGCAACCACCTGAAGCTGAATCGTGCCGCTCTTACGAGATGTGCTTGTGTGAAAGTTATAGAGTATACAAAAACTATGGTACATATATTTGAAAGATGCTCAATCCTGATGTGCTGACCACCTATCTAATTTCTTTTTGGAAAGTAGACATTCCAAGGTCCAAGAGGAAGGTCCAAGAGGTGTTATTTGAAGTTGTAGTTGTTTTGTTAACATTTTTGGAAAATGAAGAATGTAAACAAATAAATAAAATACAAAGTTGTCATTTTAACAAGTTATTTTGCACAAACAGCACAGGCATACATATAATTACATCCCAAAACACATTCTGATACTCCTCCTGAGTATGGGGATACCACCTGTATGAGTGTCACGTACATTGGTTGAAGGCCGAGTTGACGAGAGAGCTTACCTTGAGGCTCTG